CTGTATAATAAAATAATAATCACAATAACAAAAAGAAAGAAAGAAAGAAAAGGAAGTGGGACAGCCAGGACACAAACTGGTGCCCATATGGGTTGCCACACTCGGAGATGGGGGATTAGCCGATTGAGCCAATGCTCTGGCCCTGATTCATTTTTTTCTATGCCTTCCTCATATTCCCACTCGAGCTCCCAGAGCCCGTGGGATTAGAATCTTGTGACTTCTTAATCAAGTTGCAGATACACAGATGGTAAACCCTAAATGTGTCAATAGTGTAATGACAAAAAGAGCTTATTTGTTTATTAATAATTCTATGCTTTAAACAGGAGACAATGAGCTGACCAAGGTTCTGAAAGTTTAAACAGTGAAAAACTACTGATACTCTGCAACTATGGGATATTTAATAAATCCAGCCAACTCGAGCACTGTATAGGAAGTAATTCCTTAAAGCTGAAAATATCAACACTATTGAAAATGTGTGTCTGTGCAACTCTTGCCACTCAAGACATGGCCTGTGACCAGCAGTGCTGCTAGCTGCAAGCTCATTGTAACTATAGCATATTAAAGCCTACTGTAGACCTACTGAATCCCAGTCTACAATGAGTAATATTCCCAGGATGGGGCCAACATTATCATGTAGTGGATAAAAACCACCAACTGCAGCTCTGGCCTCCAGCTTGGTTGTGGGTTTGAGTCCTGGTTACTTTAATTCCTATTCAGCTCCTTCCTGATGTGCCAGAGAAAGCAGCAAATAATGACCAAGGACTTGGGCTCCTGCACCCAATAAGAGATATACAAGAAACTCCTGGCTTCAAATCAACTCAGCTCTGGCGGCTGAAGCCGTTTGGAGTGTGAACCAGTGAATGTAAAATCTTCTCTCTATCTGTCCCATTGCCCCCTTTCTATTTCTGCAAGTCTGACTTTAATATAAATAAATGAATGTTTTAAAAAATAAGATTACCAGGTGATTCATTCACATTACAGTTTGGGAAGCATTTTATTACATACTTGGGATGTCATATATTCTAAGAAAATTACAGAGCTTGAGTTCTGGAGTCACATGCTATACAGACAAATTTAGCTTCATCTCCTTTAAATGAGTCATTTAGGCATTCTACATTGGTTTACACATATTTGTTTTAGAAATATGAGTTCAGGGCCTGGTGAAGTAACCTAGCAGCTAGAATAATCAGCTTGCATGCACTGGGATCACATATGGGCACCAGTTCATGCCCAGCAGCCTGGCTTTTCATCCAGCTCCCTGCTTGTGGCCTGGGAAAGCAGTCGAGGATGGCCCAAAGCCTTGGAACCCTGTATCCATATGGAAGACTGCAAGAAATTCCTGGATCTTGTCGTTGGATCATTTCAGCTCCAGCCATTATGACCACTTGGGGAGTGAATCAATGGATGAAAGATTTCCCCCTCTGTCTCTTCTCCTCTTTGTATATCTGACTTTCTAATAAAAATAAATAAATCCTTTATCATTAAATAGGCTATTCCACAAATAGCTTGAAATCAACATCAAAAAGTAAAGTGGGATTCCATGACATGATCGTGTCTCACCGTAGTGCTACTTCCTGGAGCATAGTCTTTGATGTCTGGGACTGCTTCTGTCTGACTCTATGTCCCAATGCACATGTGTTAGTTTTAAATGAAAACAAGTGCATTTTCATAAGTTCCTAACAGATCTTCACAAACATTTCACCTGGTCCAAAGCCTACAGATCTGTCTGTGTCTTTGGTATTGATCTGTTTTTAAAGATCCCTGTGATTATTTAAGTCTCTGAACTTCTGTATTTCATTTCCCAACTTCTACTCATTTGACATTTAATAACTGTCATCAAGAAGTAACATTTATCTGTTATGAATCTGCTTTACTTCTTCTAACAATATTATAATCTATCTTGCAGTGTCTTGAATAGACTAGCCCCTGTGCTGATGATGTGCCTCGGTTAAAATCCTATAAATAGTAGAAAATGGAAGAGTAGATTAACATTCCTGGAAAATGTGTTGACAGTATAGAGCCATATATATCAATCATAAGTCAACAGAGAGTGAGGTCTTTGTGTGAAATGCAGAGACGTGTGCACGATTTGTTTTATTTGAAGAAATTCATTATGTTTGGAGAAAGTAGAGAGTAGAGTGACTATCTAATCCCTGACTTCATGCTGTGGTCATAAATGTGGACATGATCAAACTGAGATCTGACCAATAAGGGAGAATTGATTTGGATAGATATTTTGTCAGCAGTCTAACCCATAGGTAGTCAGTGTGTTCTGTTTGCTACCAAGAAATGTTCAAACAATGATGAGATGTTATCGATTTCTGGAAGAGATTTTAAGTCAACCATACTTATGTTTACCTGTATTTGTAACATAGATAATGAGAAAATGTTTGAAATCCATTCACCAAGAGTCAACACATTGGATAGTTGTGAGACTTGAAGTTTCTTCAGTTTATTTTTATTCAGTCAATACCACAATTCTGTTTTCTTTTTAGAATAGTAGGTTTTGTAGGTATTGCAGTAGGTATTGTATATGAACTTAATATTTTTCACAGACATTGCAAACATAAATAAAATTACAGGCTTTACATGATTTAAAAAGAACTTACAATCATGTGTTTAACTTCAAAATATGTGAGTAGTTTGGCTTTCCAGTGGACAGCTACATTTTAATATAGAGTATATGAAAAGAATCTTATTTATTAGTAGTAGATTTGGTCAGTTGAAGACTTGTAGAGGGATATTGAAAATTAGAAGTCAATATTGGTATAGTAAAAACTGAAGAAATATTATTATTATGTTCATTTGCCTATATTATTGTGAAAGGAAACTTGAAAAATTAAGTAAATCATTTTGGGCAAAATTTTGAAAAGCATATTTGATGCACATGAAAGTTCAACCAACAATTTGACCTCTTTTTCTGCAAGTAAACACTTTCGTATTTCTTTTGCGCTGCATTTTTTAATTTTCTTTGCTGAGAATAATCTCTTTCCCTTCTCTCTCTCAAATATGTAAGAATTAAAATATGTCAGTGGGAAGTGAAAGTTTGGCCTTCTAGTTAAGACACTAGTTGGGATGTCTACCACCCATATCAGAATGTCTGAGTTTGGGACCTGACTCCACTAACAATTCCAGCTCCTGTTAATGAAGACCCTTGGTGACAGCAGTGATTACTAAGGAATTAAATCCCTGACACCCATGAGGGACACCTGGATTGAGTTTCTGGCTTCTGGCTTCATACTGGACCAGCCATGGATCATACAACATCTGAGTGAATTAGTTAGTGGGACTTAATACTTTTCTTTCTGTGTGCTTCTCAAATAGACAAATATAACATTTTGATTTTTTTAAATTTATTTGAAAGACAGAAGGAGAAACAGAGAATTGAGAGATATCTTTCATCCATTAGTTCACCGTTAAAATGCCTGCAATAGCCAAGTTTGGGCCAGGCTGAAGTCAGGAGCCAGAAACTCCGCGTTTTACACTTGAATGGCAGGAACTAGAGTGACAGTGCCTAGGCTATCTTCTTCACGGCGCTGAATAGCAGACAGAATATCTCAGACTCGAACTGGCACTTCACTGTGGAGTGACAATACCTGGATGTCAGCTTAACTCACTGTGGCAGTGCCCACTGCAACAAACCAAACTTTAAAAGCTGAGTAACATTTGTGTTCTTTAACAAATGGCTTAATTATGTGTTGTTTATCTTGTATTTTGACTTCAACTTTTTTTTGTAGATAACCCTTAAAAGCACTGTAATTTTATACTTATGAATCTTTAATGAAATGTCAGCAACTTAAATTCCTGAGAATTATGAAAAGATCATTCTTCATAAATTATTCCTGTTGAAATTTTCATACATGATCTTACATCTGTTTTTGAGGTATCTGGCTTGTAAACAGAATGAAATTCCATATCCACCTTGATTATCTCCCAACTTCCTTAAAAAAGAGAATAAAAGAGGAAAGAATTTATTGTTAATGCAGTTTAAATTACTGAATTAGATTTCCATGGTTCCTAAATATCAACATTTGATTTGATGTATTTGAACTCTAATAATATAAATGATTTTAAATTCTGTACCATATTATGAATTAATATTGAGAAGTCATAAAACTTTATTAGTAAGTTAACTTCCAAGTGAAATAACAGTAAATACTTTTGTATTGTAAGATGTTTGTATGATGTAACACTGTTTTTCTATCAACTTCCTTACATAATTTGATTTTAATATTAAAAGTTAAAGTGTGTTCAGATTACAACAATAGGCCTTAGGGGATATTTGCTCAGACAAGTCTATGAAATCAGTTCATATGCCGATTATTTACCCTGAATAAGCTACATTGTCTCTTTTTTTGCCTCAGAGGTTTTTTTTTGGTGGGGAGGATTATGATAACTTTATAGATAATAATAATCATACATAACTTATAACGTTGTAAATATGTGAAGATATACATAGGTTTCTTTGAAGAGTGATTCCTGGAAGCACATATTTCAATGATTATTATGTACAAATAAAAATAAACAGAATTAACAAATTGATTCATGATTTTGAATCATAAACACACCTAAACGGGTAATAAATTAGCTAAATTCTACTGAATTTTAAGACATTAGGGAAAATTTAAATCAATATATTTTCATGAAACAATGTGGAATATCCTTCTGATGGTAGGTAATATAGTGTCCACATAAATGGAAAAATCACAGAGTTGCTTTGGTGAATGCTTGTGTTTTATTTTAACTTAGATATTTTGGATTGGCAGTGTGCATTTGAGTAAAAAATCATTTCAATAAGTTGAAGCATGCATTCTCAGAAAAATCTTTTCACTCTACATGATTGATGTGGTAAAAAGTAAAAACAAACAAGTGTGATTGTTATTCCATAGCATCCTTTCGGTTTTCAGCAAAGACGTATTTATAACTATAATTACAAATTATCAATGGTGTATTATTTAAGATGAAACTAATCATGTTTTTCTTTCTTTAATAACGTCCAGATTCCTCCAAAGGACCTCAACCATCTTCAGGTGTTAATGGTAACATGCAGCCGTCTAGCACCGCTGGGCAGCCCCCTGCCTCTGCCATCCCTTCTCCTAGTACCAGCAAACCCTGGCGCAGCAAGTCCATGAATGTCAAACACAGCGCCACCTCTACCATGCTGACAGTGAAGCAGTCAAGTCCAGCGACCTCTCCCACTCCATCTTCAGACAGACTGAAGCCACCTGTCTCAGAAGGAGCCAAAAGTGCTCCCTCAGGCCAGAAATCCATGCTTGAAAAATTCAAGCTGGTTAATGCCCGGACTGCTTTACGCCCTCTGCAGTCCCCCAGTTCAGGACTCAGTGACTGTGGAAAGGATGATGATGTCTTTTCTGAATCAGGGGAAATGGAAGGTTTCAACAGTGCTCTGAATAGCGGTGGCTCAGCAAACAGTAGTCCCAAAGTGTCTCCTAAATTGGCCCCTCCAAAAGCTGGAAGCAAAAACCTCAGCAATAAAAAGTCTTTGCTACAGCCAAAGGACAAAGAGGAAAAGAACAGAGACAAAAGTAAAATTTGCCCTGAGAAACCAGTCAAGGAAGAAAAGGATCTGGTGATGGAGACAACGCCAAAAAAGACCTCCAAAATCGCAAGCTTGATCCCAAAGGGCAGCAAAGCGGCAGCAGCCAAGAAGGAAAGCTTAATCCCATCTTCCAGTGGGATCCCCAAACCTGGCTCAAAGGTGCCCACAGCAAAGCAAACCATCTCATCTGGCAATGCAGCAAGCAAAGAGACAGACAAATTCAGGACTACCAAGGGAAGCCCTTCCCAGACCTCACCCAAGGCCACAGCCTCTGAGAAGGCAAGCACATCCAACTGTCCCGCTCCTCTGGAAGGAAGGGAAGCTGGCCACACACCTCCCTCCAGTTCTTGCACTGTACCCGTGGCGCAGAGCAGCGGGCAGAGTGCAGGAAACGGTGCTGTTCACCTCCCACAGCAGCAGCAACACAGTCACCCCAACACTGCTACTGTGGCTCCATTCATTTACAGGTAAGGTCATCTCTGTTCATCTGTACTGATAGATCCATATCCTCAGGGTCTGCAGACAACAAAGCTGCTGAGAGGTGCTGTGTGGAGTCATTATAGAGCAAGGCTTCATTCTGAAGATAGAGCCCTAGAATTTCACATCTATCTTAGTCTGGAAAATCCTCCACTATAATCTAGTTCTATATTCTCCTCACCCCCTTTCTTGCTCTGTCCCTCTCTCTTTCTCTCTCTCTCTCTCTCTCTCTCTCTCTCTCTCTCACTCTCTGTCTCAGAAATCAAAGCCCTCTAAATTTAAGCCACTTTTCAGAAGCACACTAAATAGCAAGTTCATAACTTTCTTCTGTGCTTATTACTATTATTTAAATTGCAATGCTACTTCTCTTGTTAATCATATTCTTTTAAAACATTTCCATTTAAACATCTTTACCCCAAATTTACTACAAAGCATTCATGGAAAAATATACATTTTTTAAAAATTTATTTATTTTTCTTGGAAAGTCAGATATGCAGAGAGGAGGAGAGGAAGAGACACAGAGAGGAAGATCTTGTGTCCACTGCTTCATTCCCCAAGTAGCTGTAATGGCCAGAACTGAGCTGATCAGAAAGCTTCTTCTGGGTCTCCTATGCGAGTACAGGGTCCCAAGGCTTTGGGCTGTCCTTGACTGCTCTCCCAGACCACAAGCATGGAACTGGAAGGGAAACAGGGCCACCTGGATATGAACCAGCACCCATATGGGATCACGGGTATGCAAGACGAGTTCTTTGGTCAGTAGGCTACCACGCTGGGCCCCGTACACCATCTTTTAATTCAGTTTTCCATAGATGTTTCAATTCTGTATCCCCCATTTTCTTGATGTCTTCCTCAGTTAACTCTGAGGTTGGCACAGGGATTTGCTTCTTTGCAGGGGAGCCTTCAGTAATATTCATTGTGCCTCTGTCTCTTTTGCTCTTGGTCGTTGTGCTTCTGGTTAACAGAATCTTCTCCTTGGGGCAAGTTTCTAAGCTCTGTCACCCACAGGTCTACAGTTTGATTTTACTTATTGCAATTGGTACATGGCTCTTTGTTTGCAGTCACTTGTGCCACTCTCTCCAGCGAGTTCTAGGTCTGGATTCTGATGTTAGATTTCCACCATGGTCTCTGTAGCCCCAGCTCCCAGTTCACCACTCTCCACTTCCTGTGACACTGTGCTAAGGCTGCACCGTTTTCTGTACAACCTTTCCCCCACTTCCGGTTGGTGTGGGTCTGAGGATTGCTCTGTATAGCTAGGTTGTTGGTGGTGCTGATCTTGCCAGAACCTGTTGGCTGTTAGGTCTGAGAGCTACACGGACATATTTTGACTTGTACAATGCCATAGTCGGTATTATTTTCCTGTGGGACCAATGCAATGCACTGAACTCAGTGAATTCTTGCCAGCTCAGCACATGCGCAGCTCACTGTTGTCCCCTGCAGTCTTAAATTATTTGCCACACCATAAGAAATGTCGTCTGATGTGCCACTACTAGGGTTCTTGATGTGCTGGCCGTCAGATCTGAGGGCTACCAGGACCTGTCTTGGGTGGAACCTGTAGGATGCCACATTGTTGCAGTTCACTGAATCAAAAATCAGTTCACTCCCAGCTCAGTGCATGCATAGTACTGTCCATCGCCTTTGCCTCCTCAAGCAAAATGGCGTCTAAACTGGCTCTAGGAGTCGTATGGGGCTGTAAATCCACCCTGTTACCGTTCCGCCTATCTGGAACCTGCTGCTCTGTCTCTGCTCCTGGTCAAATCAAACAGACCAGTAGGATGAGTAGTTCTTTGGGTTCACCTCCTAAGCTCCCAGGTCACATTCCTTCCCACCTTGTTGCTGGTGGAGTTCTGGCTGCGGGTGAAGTTCAGATCACCACTGGCTGAATGCCACTTGGGTATCAGTTACTGCAATGCCACACCATTGTTTTTGCAGCTTTCCTGTGTCTCTTAGTCTCCAGGTACCCCTTTGCTGTTGTTCTGCCCTCTCCTGTTTCCTGGAATGTGTCCTCTTTGTTTCCCACTGGCTAATATTTCTCTGTTTAAATGTGTCCTTACCCTATTCTGCCATTTTGATTCTCTGTATCTTAACTTTTTAGAAACAATTTTAAAATACAGTGGAGTAAGACAGTACACACAACTGCCATATACATTTTATTTGGTGCACCTAGAGGCCTTAATGCAGTGACCAATTTTTCTGACAATATACATTTTAGCATTTTATGATGACTGTTGCAAAAAGTTGTCATTTTTCTTTATATATTCTCAGTCTGAAGCAATTCTCAGGGTTTTTTTTAACTTTAATAATATTGATTCATGATTCTTAATGTAAATTTGTCTGCTATTGCCTCATGATTAGATCCACATATATAAGGGCATAGAGTGTATATTTATACACACAATTTCACAAATAATAATAAAATGGAAATATCACAGAAATGTTGCACATGATGTCACAAGAAACAGTCATCTGGATTTCTTGTTTAGGTGTTGTAAAGATAATGGCTGCCAGGATTTTCTATTCTAAAATGCCTTGGGTTTAGTTGTATTTAATAGAAATTCTCATGGGACTATATTTGAAGCTTCATATAAAGGTTTTATTTCTTAATCTACTTTCACTGCTAAGCTTTAGTATCCATTACAGGGCTTTTTTTTAAATTTTGGTTTGTTTGATAATTTAATGAATGACAAATGATTTCCTCATTCCATAATTCTTTCCACATTTATTCCTTAATATTCTACTTTAAAAAAAGATTTATCTTTTCTTCATTGGCTATCTAAATATCTAATCAAATGATGTGAACCAATTGGTTGTTATTATATTTTATGTGTTATAACCTGTTGCAATCACAATTTATTTTGATACTTACATTTTCCCAGATTTGTCCACTGGGAATGCCTTTATACTTTTTGGTTTGTCCTTTCATTTTTTACCATCTCTCCTTTAGAATTTTCTTTATGGGCAGATGAATTCTAACCTCACATAGTGATTTTCTTAACTTGGATTCAACTTTTACTTAAGGAGCCTTGATTGTTTTATTGTAAGTGATATTTAGTGACCAAGAGTTTACTAGTCTTTAATTTTCTAAGAGGGAAAGACTAAGAAGCATAAGTATGCGTATTTACATATTCACATCATTTTTCAATTGTGTACATGTGTTGAAATACACACCAGTCCCTCAAATTCTATGTCAATACCATAGAGTTCTTTTTCTTTCCATTGATGCATTTTTGAAATATCTGGTTCCTATTATCTCCAGTAGGTTTTCTTATTCATTCACTTTCTGTGAATCTAACAATTCTCCATCCATCCTTGGATTATTCTTTACTCTGACAGTTTCTGGCCTGGCAATGGCTATCACCACTTCTCATTTCTAGAAGAAGGAATTAAAAAATGCAGCATATTATTGACTTTCTAACCATTCATGTATTTTCTGTTTTATCATGCTTCCTAAGCAGGAATTGCATGACACCCAAGATTGAGAGTGGATTAACATGTATAAGATTGTTTTATAACACATTATTTTACTTCTAAGAGCATTAATCTATCTTGTTGAAACTTCTGTAGTACTGTAATTGAAATTTGAGTGATATATCACAGACACAACACTAGCATAATACCAGACACAAAATTAAAATACAAAATGAATATACTTTTTCTTTAACTTTTTATAAACACAAAAAGCTTTTGTGTTACTCATTATAGTAAACGTTAAACTATCACAATCCAGAAACCTTTTTATTCTAAGGCCATAGCTATTATATTTCTAAGTAAATTAAGCAGTGTTACTAAGATGTTATGACAAAAACCAAGGTATTTAGAACATATCACATAAATATTATTTTGTAAATGTATATTAAGATATCTTATGAGCTCATATATGCTAAATATTTTGAGGAAACATGACATTAATTTTTACTCTTTTTTCCTTTAATGATTAAGAAATGAAATAACACTTTATATTGGAACAATGAATGAAGTATCTGCAATACCTACTCTATAGGTCAGGTGCACCTTGTGATATAAGAACGCTATTGATTCTGAAATCCTTATAGATCATTTCATGAGTTGATCAGAATCTTCATTTTACTGCTGAGAAGTCTTTTGAAAACCAGAGGACATGCCTAGGGTCTCTGTAGACTTCACTGAACTTCTTTGAATATTTGTGTCAAAATTAAATTCTTGCCAGTCAGTACTGATTGCCTCTCTATAGACTGAAGTTAAAATCTAATTTCATATTACCATGTAATGAGGTCGACATCATAGAGAAACTGATGGCTCATAACAAATGTAGAGAAATCTGGTCCTATTTATACGTGACTATAGAGTGAGTATAACTTCAAACCACCTCTTTAATTATTTGAAGTTGAAACTACGCTCCTTTCATTAACAAATAATTTTAATTATCTCTACATCATTGGTAATGTGGATAACTCTCAGGGGAATGTCATGGGAAATGCATGAAAGAACTTGAAAATGGGGTAAAGTAGATTCTCTTGAGACTTAAACTAAGAAGACAGTAAGAAGTAAATAGGTCACAAACATACACTAGCATATTGCAAAATAAAAGAAGGGCTTCCGTGGTAAGACAGAGCTGTCAGAAGTGTGAATGCATTTTGCAAAAGATTGCCACAGGCAAAAAGATTTGGGACTTAACCAATGGAATTAAGTTTGCAGTCTCATGTATTAAGGAAGGCAGTCACCAATTCAGCTCTTGAAGAACATGTGTTCTTTTTCAAAGATTCATTTGTTTTTAGCAAAGAAAAATCTACTCTTAAGCCACATTCTAAATATTATTGTGCTCCATACAGGTTTTTCTCCCTAGACAAAAATACTCTGAATCTGTCTATCCGGCATGACCACAGGTTTCTGGCTCCCATGACAGCTGCTAGTCTTGGTCTAGTAAGAACTAATTAGTATTGGGCTTTAGACAGCCATATCAGCAAAGGACTTATGTGAGGGAACATCTAAGACATAAATATGTTAAAACTGAATTACACAGGCTGGTAGGCCAGTTTTGGCTCACAGCCAGTTCACCAAGACACCTTGACTCTGTGACACTTCTTGGCAGGCAGCCAGTCAGCCTTCCTTGAGCTCCCTAAACTCGATGTGCAATACAAATCCTTAGTAAATTTCAGGGACTTTCCTTATGCTCAGTCACAGTGGTCTTAGAAAGCTGTTAGGAAGGTACAGTGTTCCATAAGAAAGTCCAAGTGGAAGAACAGCATAAGGTAGAACTCAGGAATGAGTTGCAAATGACTGTTCATAGACAGGCATATGGGCTAAATGGCAGCACAAAAATCCTGTGTGTTCCCCATTTTAATATTGAACACTGTTCCATGTGCCTCAACAGAATGCTTTTACAGATAGTGTGAAGAACAACTGAGTTCATGATTAGTTTGAAAAACACTTATTTCATTTTTGCACATGGACAAAACAAAACTGTCTATGAACTTGCTAACATTATGTGAATGAATAATTCTTTAGTTATAGGATGAAGTTTTGGATCGAAACCCAATGTATGCACCATTATGTAATTTTTTTCTTGTATATAAACCAGTGATAGAATTCTAGTCTTATTATTTATATGCATTCTTATGTGTTTATCAAATATTTGTTGAGTACAACTTATAGACATGGGTTAGATATGTGAGTAAAATGAGAACTTCAAAAATGGAGAACACATCTGGTTGAGAGACACATGACTGTTTGATAATTAGATTTATTTTATATAGTAAGAGTTTGAAGGACTGAAAAATTGTGTCCAGGAAGCACAGAGTTCTTATAATTGGAAAATACACCTGATAGTTAAATTGGGGATGGTTACATAGGGAACATTCACTAATTTGGGGACTGGAAGGTACTCAACTGCGTGGTGAGGATCACAAGTGTGTAACCTTTAGTGTGGGAAGTAGCTATAGGAAGTGAGCAGAAGACGCTCATACAGTGGTAACCACATCGGAGAGAATAAAGTGGAGCCTTGTCTCAGAGGATGTCGTGAACCCTCATGTGCGTCAGAAGGGTTTCCTTCAGGGACTCCATGAATAAAGACTGGATTTGTTGAGAAAAGACTGACTTCACTTGTGCACGTACGGGCTTGGAGATAATTTTGTGAAGACCAACATGGAGTTGCAATTAAACATTCAATAAAAACATCTGGAATTCAGAGGAAAGTGCTGAGCTAGTGATAGAATTTTGAAATCCATGTGTGAACAAATAATAATATAGACAATGTATAAGACTGAAAGAGCATGTAAAGCTGACACAAGAAGTAGCTCAGTAGATTCCTTGGAAAAAAAACCCCACAGGTCTTGCCCTGTGTATCCTTTCTTCTCTTCTGCCCAGAATTACAGTGCTTAGTGATTGTTAAGGAAAACAAAAGGGAGAATAGAAAATAAACCGGAGAATTTTTGTCATAGAAGCCAAAGTAAGAATGCTTCTTAAGTTACAATATGTGCTGTGTTCTTCTATATGCTGCCAATATGTATCACATACGCTAAAGACAGATCAGTGTCTGTTTTAGTCTTTGCTGGCCCCTATAGCCTACTGGTTTAACAGTAAATCTTTCTAAAATTTGCTTTGATTCTTTGATTTAGTATTCAATAGGAATAAAAATTATTGGAGGTCAATGCAAAGCTTTCCATACAAATTCTTATATAGCTCCTTCCTTTTATCATCAGTACAAATGTACTTTCTAAGAGTATATGTGCTGTATAAATGGGGCATATTATTTCCCTTGATTTTTGAAAGTCTCAAAGAACTTCCACTTTCTGACTTTGCCAACTACATATTATCTATTTCTGATATAACTGATTATGCTTTATTTTTTCTAAATATCTAATGTTAGAATAAAAGCAAAATGTTAATTTAAGCCTTCTCACAATAAACTGTTTCATCATGTAAGTATTTTCTACGGATGTTTTAAATAATAAAGGTTTCAAAATCTCTTGGCAAGATCTAAACTGAGTACTAGAAATAAGGCAAATGAGATGTCCGCAAAGAACACTGCCTCACATGCAATGCTATATTTGTCTCTTTCTGTCTTGATATTTCATGTTGTGGTTTTTTTTAAAAAAAAAATATCTGGTAGCAGGAAGCATATCTACAGAGTGAGGTTTTGAAGGTGCACAAAAAAGTCTGTCTCAAATTACCTGCCTTTGCATGAAATGAATCAACAATGAATAAAATAAGAATGGAATATCAAAAGTATACGATCCCTCTGTTGAGTGCCTTTCATTTGCTGAAACTTAGTCTTTATAGTTTAATCACACAGAAATACAGTTCCATTGTACATGTACCTGTGAGTATAAAGCACACACTATGAAAGATGGTCTTTAGAATGACTTTGTTTTTTGTTGAATTTAGTTTACCTGCATTTTTTGGTAATTAAGCCATCACACTGACATTTATAATACAGGAAAAAGAATTCATTGTGTTTTTACTCCTACTTTTTATTACATGATGAATTATTTTGTAGAGTCTTTGTGGAAAAGAAGATTTTTAAATGCAGTTTCAGTAATCTTATTATTATAATTAGCATATACTTTGTTCAGATTTTCTGTTAGATGCAAAAGAAAAATGTGGTACCCTTTCAAGTCTTTTGCCTATAAAATGTTATCAGTTATTGGTAGTAACAGATTTCAATAATGGAAATCCTGTAAGTCTACTTAGTGTATCAGTCCTGCTTGGGTTGCACATTGAAAGTAATAAAATTTTTCCTATAACCAGACAGTCCTGGAACATGCCAGGTTTGAAGAAATGTGTATTTATCTTGATGCAAAACATTTAATAAGTTAACTTTTTGTGCTAGAGCGCATTCATTTTGATGAATCACTAGTAATTACCATTGCTGCTTGTTTTTGTTTCTTGGTTGATTTCAGAACACATTCAGAAAATGAAGGTACCTCTTTGCCCTCTGCTGACTCCTGCACCAGTCCTACAAAAATGGATTTATCATACAGTAAGACTGCTAAGCAGTGCCTAGAGGAGATATCGGGTAAGTGACCTGATTGATGGGTCGGGCAAAACTCAGAGTCCCTCTATTCTTTCTGTGAATCTTTTTTGTTAAAACTTGTTTGTGCTGTACTATTTTAATGCAGTAATGAACTGTGCCCATCTCATGCTTCAGAGATTTTTAGATATTTCGTTGTTCTGTTTAGGATGATCTCTTTATTGCTCTGAAAAGCACAGTGCTTTCAGATGCTGAGACTATAAATAATTTTGCCCTATGTCAAGTAGACTGAAGTTTGGAAAAAAAAAAACTGGAGATTCTTCTGTTCTTAATAAAGCAGTTCTGAAAATATACTAAATATCAAGTAACAATGGAAATTGCCCATGGCTAATTCAACCCTTCTTCATCTTAAATACTATACTTTTTAAAAGTTTGCTACATAGTAACTCCAAATATACATTCTGGGGGAAAATGTTTCATTAAGGAAATAATTATTTATATCTAGATAATGTAGCAGAAAATATCAGAACCTAGATATGGTTTATCAGATATTTGTGTCCATGAAGCAAGGCTCTCCGTTTGAGCACATTGATTTTCCTAAGATCTAGGTAAGTACAGGTATATATGAAACATCTTTGTTGTAATTGTGCTAAATACAGATTTAGATTCATTATAAACCAAATATCCTGTCAAGAAAACATACTGTTCCTAGAGTAGTTTAGATTTTATCTTGCATATTTTATCTAAGCATTCATGAAAGCAGATGAGTGTTTGTTATTCCAATAAATATCTAATTCAGACCTTGTTATTTGTGGTTAAGTCTGAAGGGAAAATAGTTAAGGAACAATGCTATTTGAAAAGTTCTGTAGTACTCCAAAGACAAAAATGCAAGTATTTCTTGCATTCCAAGTATTTCTTGGAATCTTGTCAAAGTAACCATATCACAAATTTTTGAGCTACAGAATGTCTCCACTTCAATAGACACGAAATACACTTAGATAGGAATTATAGTGCTACAGTATCCACTGAGTGATATTGGCAATGCCAGAATGATATTCCAAGTCTATCTTTTTTTTTTTCTGATTTTCCCCTACAGAAGAATGATTGCTTATTCCTTTTAAAGTGGGAGATATACACATAAAAGTGAGATCTTCCACCCATTGGATCATGGTGGTTGGGGATGAGTGTGGCCATAGCTGGGATAAAGGAACTTCATCCAGATCCTATTTGGGTGGCTGCAGAACAAGCATTTGGCCTATCTCCAGTTGTTTCCCCTGGCCAGTTAACAGGGAGCTGGATCAGAATTGGAATAGCCAGGACATAAGCTGGTGCCCAAATGGGATGCCAGACTCCTAAGTTGCAGCTTTACCTGCTGTAGAACAGGGCCTGCATCCCCACGTTACCTTTTGGAATTCACATGGGATGTACCACTTCATGTTAGAGGTCTTATGTGGAGATTGTCATGCAATTTTGCTCTTGTGTATGTCCCCTCCTTTTGGGGGCAGGGGAGGATCTAGCCACTGGTTCACTCCCAAATTAACCACAACAAGCAAAACTAAATCAATCTTAAATCAGGATCCAGAAGCTTCTTCCAGGTCTCCCATGTGGGTACAGGGTCACAAGGCTTTGGACCATCATCAACTTCTCCAGCATACGATAGATCTCTGTTTGTCTGTCTCTAATCAATAATATTTCAAATAGTAGTCTCGAGTTCATGAGATGTTTCCAACATTCATAATGCATTCCCTTCCCTTTCATAGAATCTTATCTATACATAGATCTCCTTATCTTCTAAATTCTGTTGCTACTGTAATTTGACTGCTAGCGAAACCACAAACCACAAGATGCTTTAATTTATTGCCAGACCCTGGCTTGCACTGGCTGGCAGAATATTCCTTCAATGCTAAAGGAGATGTGTGAATAGAAATGTTCTTGGAACAGAAAAAAAATGAAAAATGGATTATTTGCTGCCATTATTTAACTCTTTGGGAATTACTTGACTTCCATATCTGTGAGATGACAATGAAGATGCTTAATAAATTCACAGGATTGTTTTGAGATGTGGGTTATTCTTCCATCCATCTTTTAGTGATTATCACCTGAAATCTTATATATGCCAGGCATATGAAATGATGTAGAAGCAGACATGATTAAGGTATGAGCTCCCCTATGGGAGATTAAGGGAAATTTTATCATCAACAGTGAGTGAATAAAAAGATACATGTGCTAACGTGTCTGTGGAGGGTAATACAGAAGTCGAAAAAGATCTGATGTGGATGTTGTGGAATTCTAATGGGCAAGGAAAACAGGTAGTGGTAGTCCAGGAAGAAGGAGCTTCACAAAATAATTACCTTATTATTTATTGTTGTTTTTTTTAAGGAGGATAATCATTAAGTTTGTTGCTGATTGTGGTTCACTGGTTTTCTGTAGCTTCAAGTTATAAATCAGTTATTATTATTAAGCTTGACTTGCTCATGAATTTGGGGGTCTCTGTGGGAAATAATTCAATCTATTTCTTCAGGATTGAGTTAACTTGGCCTTCCTAATAGAGAATTCGGATGGAATTTGTCTTGGCAATGTTTGTGAAATTTTGGAGCCTAATTTGGGGGAGCCAGAAACTTTTAAAGGCCTAGAAAAGGGGTACGAGTGAGTTAATCTGCAAAAACAGACTGGTGGCGTAATAAGTCTACCTTGAAATCCTGGCATTATAATTGTTTTTGTATTTTTTGTTTTTGTTTTACCTGGCCAATTTTCTTTGTCCTATCTTGTGATAACAGCTTGATTTTCTTTGTGGATTATTCCAGTCATAAGATGAAGTACAATAGACCCTGCAGAGGCAGTGAGAGCTAGCTTTCTCTGACCCCACTAGCAGTTCTAGGAATGGATGTTGATCTAATCCAGTTCGATCAGAACAAATGAAACCCAGTCTCAGAACTTAGCCCAAGACCTTTATGAAAGACATGTTCTCTCTTCCCACTAGATGGGAAACCAATAAATAGAATGCTTAAAATTACTGATATCTGCCTTCACCCTCCCACAAAACAAACATAAGGAAAGAAAATAAATAATAAAAAAGAACCTAATGCAGAAAGAATGGACCCACTGTCACTGTTGGAAATACCTGAGCCTCTGAAAATCCATGGCCTCTCCTAGACTTTTTTTCAATTTCTGTTACATTATCTGTAAAACTTTTTAAATCAAACAATGTGAGAAATATCCTATCACATGACACACAATGTGCATGACCTGGTAAAGATTTGTGATACTATCAGAAGCAAACTTGGTCCATGCTGCAATACAGATTTGATAGATTCATTAAGTCACCTCGAAAGCTTAGCTGAAGCTTTAACAGTACAATTCACTTTAAGTTATATAAATAGTTCCTTTGTTATTAAATGATAGTGAAAATTTAAAATGCAATTAAATTATAGTGTGAAGGTAAGCATCAGAAATGAGTGACACAGAATAAAAGGCATACTGAGGTAAAGTTCAGACATTTGCAATTTAAGATCTTTTTATGCCTTCATGTTTATCTCTCCATCTTTAGGTACAATCACTCAAGTTTCTTTGTGTTTATCATGTTCTCTGAGAGGAAACCTGGTTAGATTTACTTTTTCTAATGATAATGGTTCCGATCATTATTATGGACAGGTGAAATATATTAATAAAACTCATGACAATGAGTGAGCAAGCTTATTGTTCTTAGCCTGATCTCTATGATTCATGTCACAATCTCAATATTAAAAGGCTGGCCAGATTGATGGTGCAGGTTTTGCTGATTTGAACTTTTTTTGTTTCTCACATTCATTAGCAAAAAGATTGTGTCCTCTGAGGCTACTGTCAAGTGCCAGGAGAGCCTGCCAAAAGAAGAATGCGCATGCATTTTCAATCTGTTGATATTCAAGAAGATTTGTAGAGTTTTATATACATAGCTGTACCCTGGCCTCATTGTACATAAGTACATTCACCAACACATATAACATTTGTTTAATGCAGTTTTTAACCTTTATCTACAATTTATATTCCACTGAAAAATGTTGAGCGATATCAGACTGACCCAAAATCAATAAAACTGACTTTTCACTTGTAAAAAAAAAGATAAATATTAAAATAATTTGATGGTTTCAGGGAATGCTAGAAGTGTTTAAACAGAAGGATAAGTTCATGCTTAAATGTGATTTCTTTTTCAACTTTCAGACTTTGTCTTACATAATGGTAAATATCTGGCATTAAAACTTTTATAAATGATCACTAAAATTCCCTTTTCCTTGAATGTTTATAAAGATTAAGAAGATCTAGCTTAGATAGTTGGACCGATTATACCTTTTACTTAAATAGCCACATGGTGATTGTGTTTGCTGAAGAACTATATGGTGCTTCTTTCCAGAACATTATGGTTTCTGTAGTTTAGATCTCAGCAAAATAAGAGTGATTGTCATTTTTGCTGTTGACAGAATATGTTTAGATCTTTTGAATTTAGACTCCTTCTCTACCTTGTAAACATGCATTTGTGTATGGGTACCAGTAAGTGTAAGTGCAGCTGTGTTTGAATGAATATTCAAGGTAAGCAGGTGGCTCTGTCTCTAGAAAAACGATGATGGTGTTCTCCTTGATAGGTCAGGGTAAACTGCTGGACTGATATAATTCTAGTGACAAACTAGATAGAAATGTCTTTAAGCAAAACAGACAATCCAATAAAACATCACCTTTTGAGATTTTCTTTCTCTGGATTATTTCTCAAGTATAATGATGTTTTCTCTCTCCAAGTTCCTCCTTACTGGCTCCTTCAAGTTATCACATTTGTCCTTAGGCTCACTCCCACAGGTATATTTATTACACAGTGTAATCCGGAAAGGAATATGATATGTCACTCAATTTGGTTTGATTTGGTAAATGTGAATGTGGAAATAGCATTAATTATTTCTGAGTAGAAGCATTTAAGAGTCAATGCTTGGGGGCCAGGGCAGTGGCACAGCAAGTGATGCTTGCTTCTTCAACAGTTGCCAGTTGGAGTCCTGGACACTGAAGTTTTGATGCAGCTCCTT